CATAATGAGATAATTGGTGTGTGCCGTTTGGGCAGTGGTGCTGAAGGTTTAGGTAGAGACCACTGGAATGAGATGCTCGCATACCCCCGTAAGCCAATTGCACACTGGCACCCCCTGCTGGAACCTAAGAAATCAGAAAAAGAGGTAAGTAACCTCCCTCCAGCAAATGTAAACACACATATGAGGGGTAGATATAATAACTCTCTGAATTAAGAACTAAGTTTTTCATATGCAAATTGCATTTCATTTCTGACCAGTCACCAATCTTTCTTTGTAAACATTCAGATCCCTCTAGTCACTTTATGAATAATACTTGAGAAGAATATGTCAGTGCTGATTTTAATTCATACACTGAAATTCTGTCCCCTTTCTGACCTGTGGTCAAGAGTTAATCATGAGGGGAAATTTTTTTTATTTGGCCCTATGCAAATGTCAGGTTATCACATGGTCTCTTCGTTTATTCTAATCATGTTTTTGTTCTGTTAAAAATAATAATATGCCATTTTAATAGCATTTGCCTTTGTTTTGAACAAACATCAATAAATATGATTCAGTTGAGGTTATGTCTGGGCATCTATGCATTGTGTTTAGAGGTGTAGCTCTTACTCTTTAATCTGAATATTTAATTAAGTAAGTCTGAGCAATAAACAAAGGCTTTCACAGACCACAAATCATTGTTTTTGGTAATTAAATGGGTTATAGTTGCATTTTCAATACATTTTGAGTTCAATTATCATATTTTATTAGTGTAATTAGTGTTCATTATAATTAAGCCGAACAATGCTCACATTATCAATTTTTATACTGAATAAATTTGTCTGCCGTTTTCCAGTGGAACTGGGGTACTTTTAAACTATTGTCATGGGTTAGAGGTTTGACATATCAAATAAATTGTAACTGACTAAAATGCTTGGATTAAAATGTTTTATCCTTTTCATATTCCTCCAGTTATAAAACTAGTGCTAGATGATGAGTTTTGTCTAAGACCGGCACAGGCAGGGAGGGGAAGTTTGAGCTCCTTCATGAAAACAGACAGTTTATGATTATTACTGTATAGTGATTTTCAAGTTGCAGTTTTGTATAATGCATAACAGTGACTGGACAATATGTAGATTAGGTATGGGAATGGCATATTTTGAGTTTTGATATAGGGTCATTGTACTAGTTTGGTCTAGTTTTAATTGGCCACTGGGCTAGTTTTGTTACATAGACCTGGCAACCCTGAATAGTGTACCAGAAGTCTATTCAAAGGCTTTCCAAAAAGGCCAATTCTGTTTTTACAACTGTGTTATATTGTAAAGTGCAAATAATTGCATAAAACATGAGAAAAATCAAGTTGGAGATTAATTAGTTGGTTAATTTTAGTGCTGTCAAATGATTAATTACGATTAATAGCATCCAAAATAAAAGTTTTTGTTTGCATAATATATGTGTGTGTTCTGTGTATATTTATTATGTATATATTTACATGTATTTACATGTCTATATTTATATTCACATAATTTATATTATAAATAAATATATTTATTATATAAACATAATTTTTTTTCTGAAATATATACAGTACATGCATGTGTGTGTATTTATATATACATAATAAATATACACAGTACACATGCATATATTATGTAAACAAAAACTTTTATTTTAGATGCGATTCATCATTTGATAGCACTAGTTAATTTGTACCTTTGTGTGTGCAGTTTGCTTAAGTGGAACAGGATTAGATGTGATTGGACTTGGTTGCTTTGCTCAACTGAAACAATATATATATACTTAATTTTTATTGAAACAAATATTTTTGTCATATATTATTCATTATAGAAAATAATTAGCTAATAACGAGCATGTTCAACTTGTAATATAACTTCAGGTACATCAATTTCATGCAACCACAGATTGAAATCCACTCTATAGGGTGCAGCCCTTCTGCTACAACAACAAACTGCTCTATAATGCTCTCATTGATGGGTTTTTCATATGTCTTCTCTTACAGTGGAAAGCTAGAACGGCCAGTTTTGACAGTCAGGGGTCTTGTCCCTCCCCCAAACCTCCCGCCAGTCCTTGATCAGAGCCATATGTAAAACTACAGGCTCGGCATCCTCCGTTTGTCACTCCGATGAAAACAAGAGCCCTGCTATTTCCATTTACTCCTATGGGTTGTTTTAGATGGTTCCCAAACACTGATCTAAGATCCTGCTGTCTTTGCCCTGATGTTCACCATGTTCAAGCTGTTCCAGTCCGTACGATCCTCAGTCAATTCTTGGGAGTGTTGTACAAACCCCTGTAGCCTACCTAGAATACTATTCAAAGCCAACGTTGTGTTCCTAGAATAGCTTGGTATCGTCAGCGGAGATGTTTCTTTCCAATATGAATTTTCCTGAAGCATTTGAAATCCGATGTGGTGTTCTGCAAGCGGTCTACATGCAAACAGAAGTTTCCGCACAACACTGCAAGGCTCTTTGTAGATGGCCCTGCTCAGATCTAAAGACTTTGAAAGTAGGATCAACTATTGGAAGTACTGAGAATGAGGTCAGAAAGGATGGTGTATAAAATATTGAGGGAAAGGACATTGTTTTGTGAGTGAGAAAAAAGAAGGGAATGGATTTGTCATGTGCTGTATACTAAGAACAAACCATTTTCTCTGTCAAATCCTTGTATGAAAACTGTGTGAAGGTACACGTTTTATGAAGAATATTTAAATATTTATCAGTTATAGATGTTGTATAAATGTTGTGTGTAAAAAGAGACAAAATTTATCAGAGCACAACACATTTTTCCTATCCATTAATTTCTTGCCAAAACAAAAACGTTTACGTGTAAAGAAGTTCCTGTTCACACACAAAACCACTTCACATGTAGCTGAATAAATTGATGTGATTACATTAATATTCATCGGCGAGACCTGGAGTACAAAAGTGGGCATTTAAGGAAAAAGTGCTGAAATATTCATAGAGGTCTGATTTGATTTATGTGGCTTTTATTCACTTTGTTACAATAGCATTTCAAGAGCTACAGAAGCGGTTCTGTATCTTAGTAGCACTGCTTTTAATAGCAATTCAATTCCTCTTTGAATCCTCCTGCTGTTTCAATCTCATGTTGACATCTCGTTCATCTTTTGACAATTTCATTTTGAGTTAAATTGGACTGTCAAAGATTTCCGTATTTTGATACACTGTCTGGGAAAATGTCTTGAGTAAACAATGTATGCTCAAATTTATAAAAAATATATTCATATTCTGTATTGTATAAAAGAGCAGGGTTAACATTACAGCATAAAACTATAGGCAATTAACTAACGCTCATCTTCAGATTAATATTTTTATTTGCTTGTTTGATTTTCATGTAGACAAAAGGGATACTTGAAACTATGTGAATTAAATAGTGAATCAATTATCTGTATAACCAAACAATTTAATATATAACTGTCAACGGATCAGTTTCTGTAAATTAAAAAGAAAAAAGAAAAAAAAACTAATGCCATGTTGCCCACTAATTATTTTTATAATATGTAATGCTAAACAAAGCTAAACTGAGCAATCAAAATAAGAATTAGTATTACTTTTTGGATATTTAAAGTCATAAATGATTTAACAAAATTCAATACTTTTATTGCCCGCAATACTTTATTTGATTATCCCTGTGGTTTCAATCATTTTATTTTACATGGTTAATTCATTCATAACACAGTTTAACTTGGAATTTAAATTTAACAGAGATGCTCAGGCAAACCCCTGCTAAATTATGATTACTATAGTTAAAGTTTCTCCTGTCATTCATTCATTTAAAAAGAAGAAGAAATTACAAAACTGCATATGCTGGAAACAAATGACATAAATGCACAGAAATGACATGAGTTCAGAACTTCTATTCAAGCTCCTGGACATTTTGACTGTATGTTTCAAATAAGAAAAGACAGAAAATTCAATGCACGTACAAATGCACAAGAGCTGACCCTTGATAGAAACAACCTACTATGCAGGAAATTAATTGTCACAGATGGTGGGCACGGTTCAAGATACCAGAGCAAAGACTTTACACTGATCTCCAGTGGGTGTTGCTGAAATATCTTAAAATATACATGGCACTTGGGGATAGTTTTACATAATGTCCTCCATCATCTCCTAGGGTATCTGTTAAGCTTTAAATATTTCTATATAGTAAAATAGATTTAATATTTTAACAGAATCTTTAAAAATTCAAAGTCAACTTGTTGAAGAAATGGTTGTGACAAAGTACAACTTTTGGTCCTGTTTTTACAATATCACCAATGATGTAATACTCGGATAACAAGTGTGTGTTTCTGTAGGTGAATGTAAAGTTAATAAGGTTTAGATCTGGTTCTTTACCTCATCACTAACTCCTGTGTGCTGGTGTTTTAACAACCTGTTTTTGCCCCCTTGTGAATCTGAACAACTTTCTAATTTTGTATTGATCATTTGTACTTGCAATATAACTTGTAATGTTTGAAAAAGTTCTTGTATTTCAAAAATGCTAAAATAAAATGTTGGTTCAGTCATTTCAAGGATGGAGTTGCTTCTTCTCAGTCTTGTGAACATCAAATCACAAATAGTGGGTTAGCATTGATCTGTCACTTATTGAGACTGTTTATTGTCTCATATTTTTTATAATATGTGCAACAAAAGCAATATACCTGTGTATTCTTAAAGGTAAAGGATTAGTACACTCCAAAATGTAAATTTTGTCATCATTTACTCACCCTCAAGTTGTTCCAAAACCAAAGACTTTCGTTTATTTTTATTTATTTAATAATTTTGCTGAATGCTGTTGACCATTTAATTACAATGGACAGGAGCAAGGAAACAAAACTACTATAATAAAAGTGGTTGTACTTATATTATAAAAGAGATTATATTTCAAGTCTTCTGTTTTATGTGAGAAACAGACCTATATTTAAGTTATTTTAAATTAATAATGCAGGGTTTAAATTTTAACATAAAATTACAGGTAAAACTAACATTTTTTTCATATTTTATTAATTTGTTTCCTCTTCCTCTTCATATTATAGCTTTGTGTGAGATAAAGACCCAAATTAAAGTTGTTTAAAATGAGCAGATAATCTTCCTCTTCAGTATCAGTGATTTGAACTTGAGACCAGGTTCAGTCATGAACAAATCATTCAGGCTGGTTTTGTGAACTGGATCAACCAAGTCATTTAAAAAGTTCTGACTCAGAAATAAAACGTATGATGGTTTTGTGTGCTTTTTGAAGCTCAAATGCTTCAATCCTCATCCATTGTAACTGAATGGAAAATATTCTTCAAAATGTTTTCTTTAGAAGAAATGAATCCATACAGACTTGACAATATGAGGGTGAGTAAATAATGGCAGGATTTTTGTTTTCCATAACTATCCCTTTAGGAAAATCACAAACTTTTCGTACCCAGGAACATACAGCCTTTTAAGAGCTAAAAAAGGCCACTATTCCTCAGGTGGTGGCATAATCGCCCATAACTTCTTCTTCAGCGCTAGTTTATACAGAATCTGGTACCCATCATCCCAAGCATAGAGCTGCCGCTCCTCAGGATTGTATTTGAGGCTGGAATGGGCACCGTAGCGCCTGGGGAAATAAACCAAAGGGGCCTCTCCGCTGCTTACCATGTCATTCACATCAAACACACACTGCACACGCGAGCGGCTCGGTGGCTTGGTGTTGTAAACCACATAGACCGTGCCACAGACAATAAAAGCAGCTTCAGCATTATTCCTTGGACACGCCGTGTCCCACATCAGCTCTATATCCAGAGAATCTATGTCCATCTTAGCAAGATTAATAGTGTCTCCAGCTGGATACAGCGCCCATAGCCCATCCTCATCCGCCACCATGTCCACCAACGTCTCTGGATTGAGCTGGTACACCGGGCTGCGGTCGTCCATGGGAAAAACTGCGCTGTCTGCAACAGAACCATTCTTGAGGTCATACTTGATAACCTGGAGCTCTGAACTTTCACTGACGTAATAGAGAAAGCCATCATAGACTGCATGACCGGTCCCGTTCCAAGCGATGGGCACAGTGATCTGCCTGCCTTTAGATACGCCTGATGATGCCAAGAGCTCTCGCATGGAGTTGAACTCGTACAGCGTGTTGTCGGACGTCCCGTTAAAAACATAGACTTTTGCTGATCTGGCATCTTTGGTCCAGACACCTTTCGGGCTTCCCAATCTCTTAAGGATCTTCATTGCTTTTAGACTGGATACGATGTTCACGCACACTGACGATGAAAACAAACATGATTAATGTCAACGGGAAGCGTCCTATGATTCATATGGCGAATTCTGAAAGCAATTTATACAGACTGCTTCATTTGCACAAGCACTGGAAGACAGCTTTATGAAAAATGAAGCCATGATTGTGAGTTTAAACCCTTGTTTTACTTTATTAAAGAAATAAACCAAGAAAACTGACATTGTAAGCCTCCAGCAGTGAAAGATCCACCCTTAAATGTCATGTCTGCTGTTATAAATGTGCAGGCAAGGAGGATTGTGTGGGGCTTAACGAGGATAATTGTTAATACTCTTCATTATAATACACAGGCCGTTGGGAACTATTTCTAAGATACATAATTTCGAAGACATCATTTATTGAAACGTTTTGGGCTCTAATAGATTCTTCTGTCATACTTTGTCACATTTTGCTGCTAAAATTCTATTAAATGTATTCAATAAATTAAAGAGAGTCAGAGAGTGTTAATAAATTCAATAAATTAAAGAGAGTGTTCTAAAAAAGATATAATAAAGCTTATAGCAATCATTCAATCAAGTATATGCTAATATATTTATTTTATAATTTTTTTCCCCACTTTTTATTTGTGGATTCCCTTGTCACTGCTTCTCTTTGTTATAAAATTGTTTTGATAATATATACAGTAATGTTAAAACGTTTGGGGCCAGTAATATAATTTTTTATTTATTAATTCATTCATTCATTAAATGTATTGTAAATTGTAATAATATTTCACACATATTAATGTTTTAATGTATTTTATGACCAAATAAAGGCAGCCTTGGTGAGCAAAAGAGACTTTTTGTTTTTCAAAAGCATTAATGTACAACATATGTATGTATCTTTTGTTGCCAAAGAAATAAATTAATTATATGGATTGGAATTTTGGATTCAGTCTTGGAAAAAAAAAAGTCTTGGTCTTGTTTTGCCAATGTCTTGGCATTTACTGGAATATACACAGTGTTAACAACACCGCACTTCAGTGGAGACAGAAGAACAGCCAAATGAAACACATTTACATTCATCTGCTTTGATTCCATCATACTAACAAAATAGGCTACAACCCAACAGTTGTGTAACATCTAAACCAAAAGCCAACTGGCTAATCCAGTGAACTGATTGGCTTGGTTCTTTTTTCCTTGTTTCCTAATCAACAGAACACACCACATGTTTCCTCAATAAATCAATAAATCCTAGTATAAGCCAAGCATTAGCAGAAACCAGGGTTTTTACCATCAAAGCAAAGACTGTTTGGATGAGACGGCCCCACGGCCTACAGCACAATCCCAATATGGGGGAGTGTAATTGGGATGCTAGCTCTCAAAAAAAACAAATGTCTTAAATCAAAGCACATGCTCATCGTTCATACTCTCTGTCTTGAATTGCAGCTATTAATTCTCCCAGTTTCATTTTCCAGTGTTACAATTTTCCAGAGAAAACTCCAAACCTTTCCCCCAAACTGGTCTGCTGTGTAATAGCATGCTAAATTTAGCTAGTCTCCCTCGACCAAGACTACGTCAAAGCTAAAACTGAAAGTACATGATCAAAAGTTGTGCTTCAGCTGTCAAAACTCAATTCTCCCGACTTACCAGACAACTCAAAGAACTCTTCCTTCTTCCTCTCTCTGACAACCACGTCCTGTTCCACCATTTTTTCTGCTGCTTTCACACAAGGCTTAGGGGGATTTTTGGTTTCAATGTAGTCCATCTCACGCTCCACACGGTCTACCCGTGCTCCTGCGCCCTCCATGTCTGAACGCAGTTTGTTGTGCTCCTTGCCCAACTTCTCCAACAGGTCTGCGGCCTGCTGCCTGAATTCCTTCAGGTCAGAGTTGTAACGGTTGTTCTGTTCATGCCACAAGGCAATGCGTTCCTGGAAGAATGACAAGTCACTCAATTGTTTAAGATGATCACAGAGTGCAGCAAATTCTTTCCAATGATATCTTATTCCAATGATGAGTTTTCTGTGCATTATTAAAGAGCTTGTGATAATAATGTTGCAGAAGTGTTCTGAACCGCATGTGTTAGTCTCCTTTTCCCAGTCAAGGAAACTGTAGAATAAAAAGCTCATTCATTATTTGAAAGGTTTATCACAATCGTTATCTGGAGTCAGGAGATGGAGAACCTGAGTAATGTCTGAGAGTATTTTCGAAAGGACTTGAGGGAACTCATTAATGTACAATACATAATTTTGAACAAATGTGAAAAACCATTGCCTCTACAATTTAGAAATTCACCTGTTCTTGTCGAGTCGAAGGAGTCAAAATGTTTGAGACCCTTCAGTTCCATATATCAGATATAATAAGAGAAAAGCATTAATATGCAACATATTTACAGCTATACAGTGACTTAATTGTATATAATATTTTAATAAAATAAACTTTAATAGGGTACAATGGATCTTTGACAAAAGATCATAGCTTTATGAGAATCAATGAAATTATCACATATATTTTAAAATACAAATTTATTGTGAAATATTATTACAATTTAATAATGTTTTCTATTTTAATATATTTTAAAATCCTTGGGATGTCAAAGCTGAATTTTCAGCATCATTACTCCTGTCTTCAGTGTCACATGATCCTTCAGAAATCATTCTAATATGCTGATTTGATGCTTAAGAAACATTTCTTACTATTATCAATGTTGAAAACAATTGTGCTGCTTAATGGTTTTGAGGAAACCATGATACTTTTTTTCCAGGATTTTTACTGAATAAAGTTTGAAAATTTATTTTTTTTTTGTAACATTATAAATGTCTTTAATGCATTCTTGCCGAATAAAAAAAAAGGGAGGGGGGGGAGAAAAAAACTTACTGACCCTAAACTTTTAAACACTAGTGTAACATTAATTTTTCTTCAAAGTGCTTAAATCAGTTATTTCAGCAGCTGTCAAACAGGTTCAATGGTTTGAGATGCAAAGCCCCCTTGCTGCAGGGGCTACAGAACAAATATATGCTCAAACGTTTCACAAAAATATATTACTGTATTAAAAGTATGTGAATATGGGAGCCAAATTGTCAATATTGCCATTAAATATGCACAGCATGTCACTGTGGCCACCCCAGGGGTCTTTTGCTCCAGGCTTGCTGCTCTAGCTGAATTTAATATTACATGATTTTGAATCAAAACAAACTTTGTTTTGCATAAATGTTGTTGCTCCATTAAATATTCATTAAAAATACATGTTTCAGTCATCATATACTGTACTTTGGGACCAGGAAAAAAAACTATTTCTTTTGAGGAGCTTTCAATCCTGTTGTACCCAGCCTCACTCTCATTTTATGAAAAACACTGTTTAATAGTTGAATGGACTCCTGCTGATTCAGGTAATCAAGACAGACCTGTCTGCATATGATAGCCTATATGTAAATTGACTGAATAAATTCATTATTCTAATGAAGTGTCTACTTAATCATGAGTAATAATTATTTAGGTTATTGAATCAGTGTTATATTTTTTCAGCTCAGCCTTACTGAAAACAAAACTGCTGAGCTAAACTATTCTGTCAATCAGGGGGATGTTTCTCTGCTCTGGGGTACAACTTCACTCGAGAAAAGAAAGTCTATGATAAATCTTAAGTAGATGTGAGACAGCACTGGTTTAAATAAACACTTTTTGATGGTTCACTGCTGTGTTGGGACAATGTGTCTGACGAACACGAGTTACTTTAGGGTGTCTGTATCGCTGTTACAGATGCATTTTCAAGTGTTTTTGAGTGTAATAAATATAATGAACTCTCTTAACTGTCCTATTAACACCGTTTAACTCTTAGTTTTGATGCATGTCTAGAAAAGTGGACGTCTCTGTAAAATGGCTGAAAACTAGCAGGAATGCAGAAAGTATACTAAAATGCAGCCAGATATGCCAAATTTCTCTTACCTCCATAGCGAGCATCCTATTTTCCAAGTAGTTCATCAGGCCCTGATAGTGGTACTGGCCTCTCGAACGAGCCAAAACGGTCAAGAGAATGAAGAATATGGTGGCTTTCATGGTGGTTTTGGAGAAGGGACACTTTCAGGTACTCCACAAAACAAAAGAACACTCCAAACTCTGTGAGGCTGATGTGCTGCAGCTGCTTATGGGCCGCCCTTGTCCTCTAGTGAACATGTGAGAGGAGAAGGGACCAGAAACACAGACTTCCAGGGTTTCAAATTCGCTGGCTCTCTCGCTTGGCTGGAATGTTTTTACTAACACTGAGGGAGGAGCCATGTGTCTCTGGCCTCTCTCCGTCCTCTCAGAGAACCATGTAGTGTGCTTGAAGTCAGTGAAATACAGTAAAAATACGAATTATATAATGTACTATTTCCAATTTCTGCAGCTTTATGTTAAAAGTACACTCTTAAAAATTAAGGTTTTATAGCAATGCAATAGAAGAACCATTTTGGGTTCCTCAAAGAACCTTTCTCTGAGCAGTTCTTAAAAGAACCATTTTTTTAATGAAGAATATTTTAATAATACAAAGACATGGATGTTAAATTCAATTAACAATAGATAGGAAATAAAGAACCTTTATTTTTAAGATTCTACAGACTGTTGGCTACATATGCACAAATTATCTCATACTGGCAACTTTATTGGTACAATAGTGGTTAAATATGACAAAACAAATGTGTTCTGAGTTAACTAACAACCCCATTTCTAAGTTTTAATAGAAAAACCTCTATCACGTTTGCTTGATCAGAAATATATCATATATGGATGAGAAAATCACATCATCCTGGTTATGCAAATACCACTAAAAGGGCACTCGATTCATTTAAAGTGAAATGCAATTGAAGATCCCTTGAATGCCGAACTGAATTATGCAGAGAGAAAATCATTCACGTATTGAAGTTTTTGATTATTATGATTAAATCTCTCTTCAGGACCAACAAAGTAAATGTTCCTCAATTCTCAAAGGAAAAGCTCTGAGAACTGAAGACTGTTGTTAAGAAAGAATGTGTGGTTTGACTGGGTCAACACTGAATTTTTTAAATGCTTTGTACTGAATGTTACTTTTTTTTTCTTCATTCTCAGAGGTTTAACCTTTTGTCTCTGTGCCTGTCGATTTGCTCTCCAGGTTAAGTGACAACTGAAGACTGTTGTTAAGAAAGAATGTGTGGCTTGTCTGGGTCAACACTTTGAATTTTTTAAAATGCTTTGTACTGTGTTACATTTTTTCTTTCTTCATTCTCAGAGTTTTAACCTTTTGTCTCAGTGCCCGTCGATGTGCTCTCCAGGTTAAGTGACTGAAGAAACAGACCTTTTGTTTTGACAGACAGATGAGCTCTATCAAGGATTCACGCAGCCTCAATACCAAATATCCAAGAACAAAATGTCAGAATTAAACACTCTTGTCATTACAATCTATATTATGTGTTACTGAAGTAAACTAACATAAAGAGCAAGAACCTGAATGAAGAGGATCCATGTGTAGGCCTACACAGAAACAAGTTTGCAGTGATCAGATCCTACTGCTCTAAGATTGTGTAAAAGTTTGTTTTTGCATTTATATAGCCAGATCAGTGTAACTGGATAAGTTAAATATATGACCATACATGCAACAGGGCTACAAGGATTCACTGAAATGCTGTGATTGAACCTTTTCCTGTCTCTCTGATTTTCTGGCTTGCTTGTGCAGCTGGTGTCGTCATGGCAATATTCTCAGCTTGCAGACTGGGGGCCATGAACCCTGTTGAGCTTTCTGACTGATTTTATGCCACTGACCCAATCTACAGTTGTCATGCAGTGTCTGTGAGGCTAAATACAAGTCAGTCTATTTTAAAACAATGTTTTTTTTTTTTTACATAAGTTCTGTGGATATTGACAGCCAATTGTTTATGGAAATAATCTACAGTAAAATATACTATGATTAGCTAAAATAACTCACAAAACTCATTCTCAGTAGCAAATTTGTTTCATGCCCACTAGATGGTAGCAATGGTGCGAAAATGAGTTCATAGATTACCTGACTTTCCAATCTATGGTTCTCTTTCCATTCCATTGCGTTTGTTGCTGTTTTACATTAGGTTTAAATATACAGGAGTGTAAAATACTTGAGTAATTACTGTACTTAAGTATTATTTGGGGGTATTTGTAATTTATTCAAGTACAATTTAAACTGCCTACTTGTACTTGATTACATATTTGAAGAAAAAACAGTACCTTTCACTCCTTACAATTTTATTTAATCTTGAAAAGTACTCATTACATTTTTGCATTATTATTCTAACTAATGCACATTAAATATTGTAAACGTGCTTTTGACGTGCAAGAACCAATAAAGTTTGTTTTCAAGCATCAAGCACAACACGTTTCAACTTCAATTCTAACTTTTATCAGGTAAATTTCTGGCTTCAAAAGTTCACTATCAAATCTGAGAAAGCATACTGAGGTACAGTATCAAAGTTGCTTGATGAGAGTTTAAATTCAATTTATATTTTAGTGGACATGATTGCTTTATTAATTAAATGTTACAACTCTCCAAAAAGTGTTTAAATTAACAATCTATGTTAAATTAACTGTAAATCATGTTTAGTGATGCTCTTATTAAGGAGTGGATAAGTCGTATTATAACGATATACTGAATAACACTTAGGACTGTCAATTAATATTTTTTTCTAACAAAGATTTTTAGCCCATATAATGCAAGTGTATGAGACCACTTCAAAAACCATACAAAGTTAATACAACGGTCAAATTTAAAATTATTCTACGGCACAAATTAACATTGTTTGGTGGACGGGTATTTTGTATCTCTGCCTACTCTGGAACTTTATTCCCAAACACGTCCGTGACCTCTCATCAATCAATACATGATTTCAAAACCCACCTTAAAACATGTTTTTTTGTTTCTGTGATTCCTGACTGTTTGATCTGATCCTCGTTATGTATTACATGTTTATCGTTATACATCTGTATCCTTGCTGACACATTTATTTTTTATATTATTGTAAAGCGACCTTGAGGTTTTTTTTTTTGAAAGGCACTATATCAAATAAACTTATTCTTATTGTTATTCTTATTATTATTAATTTGTGTTTGTATTTTTCTTACACACACCTATCGTTAACAGGGTTGTCATATTCACTTTGTGTAGTTTTTGAAGCTTCATCTTTGGACATGCCTTACACTTGCATTATATGCAGAAACATGGATTTTTTTTTTCCAAAACACTTTGTTTGTATTCATCTGAAGAAAGAAATTTGTGTGGGATGACTTGAGGGTGTAAAGGCTGTATTTGTTGTGTTCCACTGTGCTACATTTTAATTGTTGTTGTTGCACTAGATTGATGTTTTTTTTGGGGGGGGGGCGTTTTTGCCTCTTATTGATAGGATAGTAGTGAGACGGGAAGCGAAGTGGGAGAGAGGGGGGGATGGGATCGGAAAAGGTCCACGAGCCGGGACTCGAACATGTCGACGCGCTGCCCACGAGGCTATCTGCGACGACTAGTTTGATGTTTTTGACCTGCATCCATTGTGTTTTGTTTTCTCCCTTTAACCAAAACAAGAGTTAAAAGCAGAACTAAAAAATACACACATTTCGGAATGCCTTATTATTTGATTTGTCTGTCCTTTCCTTTAATGACAGCAGCATTTGAGCTGCATTAACGCCACAAGTTTGTGTAAAAACTGATAATGTTCTCCAGCAAGATTTTAATATCTTGAGCTTCAGTAGAAGCAAGAACATCTAACTGTCTGTACAAAGAGTCACATGATCAGTTACAAATGTTCTTATTTGATTAGTGCAGAACGTAGTGCTCAAGATTTCTTTCTCATTTCTTTATCATAACACTTCTGTGTTTGATTTTCAATAACATGTTGACCCTGCTGAATAACAACAGTAAATATATATACAAAAAACATATTTGTGCTTGTGTTATTTATAGGGTCATTATGAAAAAAGACAGTCTGACTAAGATTATGGTGCCTGCAGAGTAGCAATTCTCTCGTAGAACACTTCTAGCTCCTAAAACACAGGCTAAATACATATGAAAAGAAAGATTTTTATTGGGTCAAAATAATGATTGAGTAGGTCAGAAAGCATGACCACCTAGTGCCAGGTCATATAAAAGAACAGACTGTGCAAAACACCATAAATCCCTCTGCCTCTAGTAAATAGCTTTAATACACCCGAGGCGCCAAATCACTTGACCTGTGTTAGCCTCAGCGTTTGTGAACTTTCTGCTTGACTGAATGTTCCGGACCCACCCCCTCTCCTCCCATTCTCTTGCTGTCAGTCCAGGTAATAGTCAAGGCATAATTAGCAGCACGCTCACTTGATACTTATTTTTTCTGACTCCAACCTCGGGCACACTTTGAGGACTTAATCAGGTTGTGGGCCTTGAAAGCCTGGACTTTCCTCTCCACTCTTATGTGATTCATTGAGTGGTCATTGGGGATGGATCTTCAAAGGCGCTAAGACGGGTGTTATTTTATTATAAATGGTTGTATTGGTGTGATATTCATCCCATTCCTACTTCTTAAGATTTAAGATTATTTTAAGAAGATAATCCTAAACTCTTAAAATTATCTTAAGAAGTACTAATGAATCATTTTTAGTATAAGTACAAAATTAATATTAAGCACACCGACATTTCCTGTCATATCTCCACTATCCTATAAAGAAAAAGTGCAAAAATGCCCCTCAAAGTGAAAAAGGTGCACATTTTTCCACCTGAGATGACTGGAAACAGCTTATTTATGTGCTTTCAGTAAGGTCTGGAAAAATTTCCCGATTGATTGCGATGTTCATTTCAATGATTTTTCAAGATTCTTTTGCTCTATGCCTTTTAAATGTTTCAGGCCAATTGCAAAGGAAGTAATATCTTACCTGAGTTACGAATGTGATTTCACTGTGATGCAATAAAAAAGACCATGTAGCACGAAATAATGGCTACAAAGTCATCGCAGGCAGCAAAACAAAGTAAACAGAAGGCCAGCAGTGCAGCCTGATTCCCGAAACAAATGCCAGTTCTTGTTGTTGAATTGACCGCGTGACCCGTGTAGACAAATTTTTGAAACGACTCTCATCATGAGCCGGTAATTTTTACTTAAAAAGCATAAATTGCAACCATATATCCAACCGTTTTTTAAACTACTTATCTCTCCCAACATTT